TACTTCGCGGTTTGTCCCCCAAATCAATTTGGTACACAATTTACTTAACAGTTTTGTGAGGAGGGGGAAAGACAGTAGCCAGAAACAACATCTTTGAGACTACATGTGTTTTCACGATATTCACACGCGCTTTATAGTTTGTATTTTTATTGTCCCATTTAGCTACTTCGTTTTCTATTTCACTCTCTTTCTTTTTCCAATTCAAAAGACATGGATCATTTTTAGTAATCCAAATACCTAAAATCTTCATCTCCTTGTTAGTTTTTAAATCAATTACAGGTTCTTTTAAGTTTTGTCCAAACCAAACTCCGGTCTTTTCCTGGTTTAGCTTAGCACCAGAAGCTTGTTCGTATTTTGTTAGCAAATCCTTAAGTATTGATAGCTCCTTTTGATCTTTAATAATTACAGAGACATCATCCGCATAAGCAAGGGCTGTCACCTTGTAGGTGTCATTTAGGATGTATCCAGTAAAACGGCTATCACTATTGATTGTTTTAAGTAACGGATTTATTGCCAGAACATATAAGGCTGCGCTTAAAGGACATCCTTGTTTCACTCCACATTCGACATGGAAGGGTTCGGTCAGTCTTCCGTTTACTTTAATCTGGACAAGGGATTTTTTATATAATACTTTAATCATGGAGATGAAGGTTTCAGGCATATTATATGCTTTCATTACTTCCTACAAATAAGAGTGGGAGATGTAATCAAAAGCTTTCCTTTGGTCGAGACTTAAAATAAAAAATTCTGTGTCTTTTCTACTGTAAATTATTTCACGCAGAGTACATAAATTATCTCACATCAGACGACCTCTTATTGCACATGTTTGCTCTTTTTCTATAATTTTATCTAATACCTCTTCAAACCTATTCATAATTATTTTAGCAAATATTTTGTAATCAACATTCATTATTGTCAATTGTCTATAATTATTTATATTATCTCTTTCCCCTTTCTTATATAGCAAACACATTAATCCATTATAAAAGGAGTCACCCAAAGTTCCCTCATGCATGCCTTCATTAAAAACAGTGGCTAAAAATTTGGATATTTCATTCACAACTATTTTATAAAATTCGGACGGAAGCCCATCTAAACCAGGGGTTTTGTTTATGTTTAACTGACTGATCGCACATTCTACCTCCTCTTTAGTAATATTTCCTAAAAGTGAGGTATATTGGATGGAGTCCAGAGGCTCTATTTTACTTAACAAATATTTTACTGCACTTGTTTTTGTAGATAACGGAGAGAACATATGGGCACATAGCCTTCTGATAACTCGCCTTTTATCTACTTCTTTTACGAAGGAGTTTCCTCCCTCATCTCTTATAGAAGAAATGAACTCATTATTACGTTTCTTTTGGTTAGCACCAATCATATAATCTTTATTACCATTTATATCACCTCCCATTGTTTTTTGTATGTTAAATAATATTTCATTATTTACTTTTTCAATACTAACTCTAAGTTCTTCAGTCTGGTTCTCTTCATCCTCTTTTCTAAATTTTTTATTCTTCAACAATATGTATTGATTTACTTGTTCGTTATACTTTATATTTTTTGCATAATTTATTTCTCTACATTTAAATTTAAAAAAATTTCGCATCCGTTCTTTCAGTATCTCCCACAATTGTATATCAGATGTTGTGAGTTTTTTAAGTTGCAAAACTTTCACAATTTCTACCTTTAATTCCAAAACTAGTGCCCCGTCACTTAGACAGCTCGTATTTAATTTCCAATAAGTGGAAGGGGGGTCAGTGCCACACAAAATCGTAGCTCTGACTACCTTATGATCAGAGAAATCAGTTACGAAATCATTATATCTTAAAGCTACAATCTCGGAAGATATATAAATCCTATCTATTCTAGTTTTAGAGGATGAGTCAAACCTTGTAAAATGAATTGTCTGAGGGTTTAAGATCCTATATAAATCCCTAAGAGATGCGTCATTACATATTTGTGTAAGTAATTTGCCTTCCCTGGACTCTTTGAAAATCGTACTAGCAATCCTATCATTCTCTTCCGTAACCATATTAAAATCCCCACATAAAACAGTATTAAACCCACATTCCAACAAATGTCTCATTTTCTTTAGTTATTGCATTTTCTTTGTTCTTTCTGGTGCGGTATACACATTAATTAACCGAAATTTTTGACCACCATAATGGCAATCAACAAGTAAAAGCCGTCCTGGTATTATATCTCTTTTCTTTATGATGTTCACATGAGTGTTTTTGAAGAAAAAGCCCACCCCGTCTGCACTATCTTCCCCTATTGAGACTACTGAGTGGCTTGGACCCCATAATTTAATCAGTTCTTCAATATCTTCCTTGGTTTTCAATCTTAATTCTTGTAGGCATAATATGTCATAGTCCAGTTTTTGCAGAAAAAGCACTTTCTTCTTCCTTAGTCTTTCTGATTGTAACCCTCTAACATTCCATGTTATTATTTTAAGAGTGCTCATATTTATGTAATAGGAGGTTATTCGGTAGAGGGAGGGAACATTGTAGATTCAACATTACCTTGCGGAGGGCTGGATCGATCGTCTTTTCTCTTATCTCTGCCATAAGACGCCATCGAGACACTACTTTTCCTTCCTCCTGTCGTTGTTTCATTGACCAATTCCTCCATCGCAGGATGCTGTTTGTTAAGAAAGATCCCTATTTGTGGATCCACATCATCTTGTCCTGCAGGATCATCCGTAGGAGAAATCTCCACAGGAGTCGAAATGGGTGATTCTTCACTATCACTTGCACTTAGGTAGCTTTCTGACGAATATTCATCCTCGCTTTTCCGTCGCTCGTCATTGCTCTCACATTCCACATCTGAGGTCTGTGAGAAGGATTGGTCTCCCGGTTCCTCTCCACCTCCAACTGCCATTTCTTCGGGTTGTCTTGAAGGCGTCAAATCCTCCTTTGTTGTTATTGTGTGTCTGCGGCTCTGTTACTCCCGGAAGATTTGTTGTGTTACAACTGCCTGGTTCTTGTCCTGAGGCAACATCTGAGACAGCCAAAGGATTTATCAAGGACACATTTCCATGTGTGGGCCTTTCCTGTAGTGGGGCTGGATTTGAAGCTACTGACAGCGCTGAGGTGGTTGGAAAATCCGTGCGATAAGCACTCGTGGAGGGCTGCTGGGAAGCTTTAGTCATATTTGCAAAGGATTTGGAACATTTAAAGAAAGTGTGTCTTTTCGCACCACAGAGGGAGCACTCACTTTCATTTTGGCAAATGTTAGCCTTGTGGCCCAACTCACCACATTTCCAACATCTGATAGTGGGGCATTCTCTCGCCTGATGGTCTGGACCTTGGCAGATAAAGCACCTCGCCGATTGGCCAGGATAAATAATCCTGCCATTGTAGGGGCCCAACGAGATGGAATTAGGGATGGAGATTATATGTCCAGCTTCATCTCTACGCATCCGAACTTTGTATTTTCGGACTCCATACCAGAATCCGAATTTATCTACTGGCTTGACTGGGGGTTGAAGAATCTCGCAGTACCTTTTAAGATATAGCTCGATGTCTTGGTCTGGAATCCTTCCAGTCCAGAATTTAACAATAAGAGTCACTACCTCTACCTGGACAGAAGACTCCACTTGCCAGTCTTTCCATTTCGGATGTGAAGCGTTGGAAAAAGAAATCTCCAAGAAGCGACGTAAGGGCGCCTCTTGGGTGAAACACAGCTCAAAGTCCCGTTTATTGGGCAGAGCAATGAAAGAGTATATGTCCTGCACATTCAGCCAAGATGTTTGCAATAACAGCTCTTCAGCAACATAATCACGGGTCGGGGGTCCCCGTCTCCGATGAATTTAAGTCTCACCCATAAATTGCTGAAGTTTGAAGCAAAAGGTAATGGGGCATACGGGGGCATGGTTACAATACTAATAACCCTTGCCACCTTTGCCGCGTCCACTCATTTTCTCGAAGCCGTGTAGAAACACTACATTACAACATTAGGAAATTGCTGCGGTGCTTCAGTGCAAACATACTGTTATAAATTAAGCTTAAATAGACCTGAAAATAAACATGAGAATAAGAATTAAAAGTGCTAAGTAGATAGATATATACATGAGTGCAGGTGGTGATCAGTGCCAAACATGGAATGATGCAGTGCCAGTCCAGGATGAACCCTGCCTCACAACCAGGAATAACCTCCAGAGTCGGACACTATTAAAGAACAGTGTAGTTACCTTATTCACCTACTCAGATTTCATATTATAGCTCTGAACACCAATTAAAACAAGAGCTCTTATTTAATAGAGCCATGCGTTATCGTAACATAAAGCCTTCCACCATCTAAAATGTATGTCAGCATATATGTCCATGTAACCGGTGTGATTCTGCGTTGTGTCTGATAAAAAAGGTAAAAGAAAGAAAGACCTCCAAGTAAATAATTTGCCCACTCCAGCTCCTCTCCCACAGGGGAATTGTAGAAAAAGGGGCTGGCATTTATTTTTACATTAAACATAAAATATGCATTTACATGTAACATATTTGACATAAGATAAAACAAAAACAACATGAAATCTGACATACCTGATAAAAAAGGTAAAAGAAAGAAAGACCTCCAAGTAAATAATTTGCCCACTCCAGCTCCTACGACCAAATACAGACAGTGGGGAAGAGGGTTAGCTCAACCCACCACAGCTCCCAAGCTAGCAAGGAATACATATTCATGCTATCATTTATGGCGCCTAAAACACATTTATGACACACACATACTACACACTTATAACATCTTACAAAAACAGGCTCAATAATGACAATAACTGAATTAAAATCGCAATCATAAACATCAGGGTGGTTAAATATGAATTATGTGTGCTTTAAGGTGCTGGAAAGAAATGACACCCACCTCTCCCACAGGGGAATTGTAGAAAAAGGGGAGAGGCAAAAGGGGTACACTGTATTTATAGTATTGCACCAAAGAAGAAGAAAAGAATGAGGAGGGGCTCTAACTGATAATGAACACAACTACAGGCTTGGAGGTCCTAAAAGTCAGGTATAAAAGGAGAAGTTTGGGGGTTTAGAACACATTTTGTGTAATTATAACAATGTTATTTATGACTCTGTTACATCCAGAGCAAAAGAACAAACCCATATAATCAAAGGTTACAACATCTACAACCAAAGCTCTTAAAGGGAGGTGTGTGGCTCTTAAAAGAGCCGTTGAGTTCTTTCAGTTGGTGTGAATGAGTTTAACCGCCGAAGCCGTACAGAGTGCGGCCCTGTCTCTTCAGAGCGTACACCACGTCCATGGCGGTCACGGTCTTCCTCTTGGCGTGCTCGGTGTAAGTGACGGCGTCACGGATCACGTTCTCCAGGAACACCTTCAGCACACCGCGGGTCTCCTCGTAGATCAGACCCGAGATACGCTTCACTCCGCCACGACGAGCAAGACGGCGGATGGCGGGTTTGGTGATTCCCTGGATGTTGTCGCGGAGAACTTTACGGTGACGCTTGGCGCCTCCCTTTCCGAGTCCTTTGCCTCCCTTGCCCCTTCCACTCATGGTTATAGTTTCTTTGACCGAACAAAGACGAATGAAAGTCAGTGACACAGGTCCTGTGTCTTTATGTGTGCTCTGAGGACGTAAAAGAAAACGGTACGAACGAGTTTCGCTGGGCGGATCGAAGCTCTGTGGCTCCGCCCACTCTTCGGTTGTCCAAATGTTGACATTTTAATCTAGTTCACTTTAAAAAAAAAAAACAAAAAAACACATGATCACTAGAATCTTTAGTTCATATTAAACACTCTGATCAACTGTAAAACGCCAAGTTTTTTTTCAAAGTATATTAGGTAGTTCGAAAAATATATATATGAAGTGCACTAGTCTGTAATTCGCTCAGTTTGGGATAACAAAACATTAGATGTGCTTTGTGGTCAAGCACAATGTACATTGTGTATGTATAACGCAACTGAAGGGAGGGGAGAGAACACGCGCGCACACACACGATATAATCGCGCTGTTTTACAACAAAACAAATACTTGATTTTGTCTGATTGCTTTTGACTTTGAAGTACTACACAGTTTTCAACAGTTCGTGTTACTTTAAAATTTTGTGTGGACATGTGCTCTTTAGAAGAAGTGGGTGGCTCTGAGAAGAGCCGTTGGGTGGATGCAGCAGAGCTGCAGTTTACTTGGAGCTGGTGTACTTGGTCACGGCCTTTGTGCCCTCGGACACGGCGTGCTTGGCCAGCTCACCGGGCAGCAGGAGGCGCACGGCGGTCTGGATCTCCCTGGAGGTGATGGTGGAGCGCTTGTTGTAGTGAGCCAGGCGGGAGGCCTCAGAGGCGATGCGCTCGAAGATGTCGTTGACGAACGAGTTCATGATGCTCATGGCCTTGGAGGAGATGCCGGTGTCGGGGTGCACCTGCTTCAGCACCTTGTACACGTAGATGGCGTAGCTCTCCTTCCTGGTCTTTCTCTTCTTCTTGCCGCCCTTGCCGGCGGTTTTAGTCACGGCTTTCTTGGAGCCCTTCTTGGGCGCGGACTTTGCGGGTTCAGGCATTTTCCTTCGTCGCTACTTCACAGCAGAGAATGTGCCCGTCAGCGCAGAGCAGCTCCCTTTTATTTCCGCTGTATGCAAATAAGGCTGTGCAGATCCCCGCCTGTCATTGGTCGAGGCTCTGCCTTTGGTCGAAAGATTGGGCGTGCCGTGTAAACACGGAAGACCAAAAAGGAAAGCTGGAAGTTCCTGTCGGCGTCAGTCCCCCTCCCCCTTCAATCAGTTCAATTAATCAGTTAAATGTGGCGCCCTGTCATAAATATTTAATTTCTATTAATTTTGAAAGCTTATAGTTTGCATATGATCTCATCATCAAGTGTTAAACATTTGTTGAACATTTTACGTCCTGTGCATGACAATGCAAAGGTTGATTCTCAGTCTTTTAATATAAATAAACAAATACATAAATAAAAAAATGTAAACCTGTGCCACTGATACTGTTACTGCTGTATATTTGCTCTGAAGAAGGGACCAGAGGAAAGAAGATGAAAGCATCAAGTAACCTCTAGCGTTCTGGTTTGATTCCCAGTTCCGAGCTTCAGCATTGTCATAAGCATCATAAACAACTCAAATAAACATACGTTTAAACTTAGTTCCACACAATCTGTAGCCCCATCCTGAGACAGACCAACACTTTGACCAGGGTTTCTTTGTCTGAGGTGTGATAGCTGAGAATGAATGAATGGCTTTTGCAGATTGAAGAACAGCACTCACTGAATCTGTACATTTATTCTTTGTGGGGGAGCTGCACAGCTGACACAGAGAAACAGACACCCTCATTCACAGCTACAGTCAATCTAGAATCACCAATTAAACTAACCAGTGTTTGGACTGCAGGACGCAACAACAGGGAGAACATGCAATTGCTGAAAGAAAAGCAGCAGGCAGCTGGATTAAAACTCAGAAACATCCTGTGAGGCAACATTGCAAATCACGATATTTCAAGTACTGCTTTGATTAATGCTATAGGAACAATAATCCATGCATTCACCAAATCCATGTGTGAAGTCTGTGGATAACACCACTGGTCTCTGTAACTACAGATAGGGATACCAGCACCGTAGCCAACGGTGTTCAGAAAACAACCAAGGAGGTCACTGTATGTGTGTGTGTGTGTGTGTGTGTGTGTGTGTGTGTGTGTGTGTGTGTGTATATATATATATATATATATATATATATATATATATATATATAAAAAAACACCCAGCACGCCCCTGCGGGCGGTTTATCCTTCAAGCTCGGGTCCTCTACCAGAGGCCTGGGAGCTTGAGGGTCCTGCGCAGTATCTTAGCTGTTCCCAGGACTGCGCTCTTCTGGACAGAGATCTCCGATGTTGTTCCCGGGATCTGCTGGAGCCACTCGCCTAGCTTGGGAGTCACCGCACCTAGTGCTCCGATTACCACGGGGGCCACCGTTACCTTCACCCTCCACATCCTCTCGAGCTCTTCTCTGAGCCCTTGGTATTTCTCCAGCTTCTCGTGTTCCTTCTTCCTGATATTGCTGTCATTCGGAACCGCTACATCGATCACTACGGCCGTCTTCTTCTGTTTGTCTACCACCACTATGTCCGGTTGGTTAGCCACCAACCGGACATAGTGGTGGTAGATAGAGACAGACACACACACACACACACACACACACACACACACACACACACACACACACAGTCTATTTTAAACTATATATAGATATCATCTAGATATCATCCTGTAAATTCCCACTTGAATTTTTCTTAAATATTTGATTTTGATTACTAGCTATGAGAACTGCTGATCCTCAGCTTCGCATGCCCATTCAAATCTTTGTTGACCTCAGAGTGATTCTTTTCTGACTCTTTTGTGTCTGGCTTATTGGCAGTAGTTACATCATAAGATTCTTAAAAACTGAGCTTTAAAACATGCTAATAAATCTCTAATAAAAACCCAGAGATGCTGACAGTGATCCCTGACTATTTTAGGGATATAAAGCACTATTTAAAACACAAAGCATTAAAACACATTAAGAAGAAAACATATTGATGATGCTCAATCATCCAGGTAAATATATCTCCAAAAGTTGATTCTGTTCATCTGGACGTAGCGTTTTGTGGGAGAAACGTTTTGTCACTCATCCAAGTGACTTCTTCAGTCTCAGCTGACTGCAGGTTTCTCCAAATTTTATAAACAGCACATTTGCATAATGACTGAAACCAGCCCAGTGAAGGAACAATGGGCTGGGAGGTCAGCTCCTCAATCTTAATTATGCAAATTCTCATGACCACTGATCAATAGCCATGAGTACCATTCACAGAGAGTTGGGGAATGGCTGCAATCACAGCATTGTAAGATGGCGAAGAACCTGCAGTCAGCTGAGACTGAAGAAGTCACTTGGATGAGTGACGAAATGTTTCTCCAACAAAATGCTACGTCCAGATGAACAGAATCAACTTTTGGAGATAAGAAGACAACAGTCTTAATGAATTTGTTGTAGTTTAACCATTTAAGGACACTATTAAAAGGTAATATTAAAAGGTTTGCTCAAAATATTGCCATCATTATTAAGCGTAGTGGTGGCCAAATTAAGGTATTCGAAGCAGTGAAGCTTGTATTGAAGAAGGGTTAGTTACTCTAAGCTTTTTAACGCTTTTCTGCCCTCTGGTGGACAAAAATATGAAGAGGCGCATGAATGTACAACTTGAAATGAACTACTTCATTATGTTTGCCTCTGCACAGCTGAGTTGATACACTGTATTTGATATCATGTGACAATTCTCTGCGATATTGATAAGGTGGTTTGAACATGTATTTTGGGGGGTGGAAAGAAAAGTTTGTCGTATTTGATTATTAGGACTCAATGTAGCTCAGGAAGTCAATGAACATGGGACTGTTCAGAGGAACTAAGCCTGGACACTGGTTCTGTATGGAAAGCCATGGGTGCAAAACTAAAGACAATGTATCACTTAATGGACATTTGTTTTATTGAAAATTTATCGTATATCCCCAGCACACATAAGTAAATGTATTGATTTCCTATTTTAATGAAATATATATTTTGACCCAATTATTTACCCAAGTATTTATTTAGTTCACTTTGGTGCCCACCATCAAACATTATTCATTATACCTGTAGCTAATATTTTCTAATTCACGTTCATTATACTTAACTGCCTTTAACTCGTATTACTCTTTACTCTCTGTAGAATAGGGACGTGATTCCATGTTACGCATCACAGCACACCTCTTTTCATCTTGCTCAGTTGTTTCAATAACAAGTCAAATAAAGGTCTTACCACTCGCTGTCTGATGTGCGGACGTAATAGAAAGCCCTTGACAGCAGTTTTTAAAATTGGGCAGAGCCAAGAGGCCACTTTCCTGGAGTCTAGCATGCCATGGAGCTTTTTAATGACTGTACAGCGCGCGCACATGCATAAACACATACCAAAAATATTTTGTGTAAGCACTTAAGTGGATCTAATTTTTTGGGGATGCTTAAATTTCTAGAAGCTGCTTTTATGGTGCAAGTTTTACATGCAGTTTCTGCATTTTTCAAAGCTGGCATTAAAAACCGGATGTACTACATAATCTTTACTAGGATGCTAGCTGGTATGTGCAAGTAATAATTAAATTAAAAACGTTAATTAATATAATAGCAGATGTGAAGAGATTTGCTTCCTCTCTAGGCTCTGTCTGCTATACATGCCTCGCAATAAAGTTGTATAACTGATGGCTTTAGGAACAGGCTCTTGTAAGATTGTGGTGGCTCTTAAAAGAGCCTTTGAGTTCAAACGTAACAGCGATGACAGCTTACTTCTTCTTGGCTGCGGTCTTTTTCGCTTTAGGCTTGGCAGCCTTCTTTGCCGGGGATTTCTTGGCTGCGGGCGCCTTCTTGACCACCTTCTTCGGGCTTTTGGCGACCTTCTTCGGGCTCTTCACGGCTTTCTTGGCGGGTTTCTTGGCAGCAGCTGGTTTCTTAGCCTTCTTCGGAGACTTTTTCGCGGCTGCGGGCTTCTTTACTGCCTTAGCCTTCTTCGCTGCCGCAGGTTTTTTGGCAGCGGCAGGCTTCTTGGCTTTAGGAGCAGCCTTCTTCGCTGGCTTCTTAGGCTTGGTCTCAGCGGTTTTCTTGCCTAGCTTAAAAGAACCAGAAGCGCCGGTGCCCTTAGTCTGAACCAGAGTGCCCTTAGAAACCAGGCTTTTGATGGCGATCTTAACGCGGGCGTTGTTCTTCTCCACATCATATCCTCCGGCAGCCAGAGCCTTCTTCAGGGCAGCTAGTGACACCCCTTTCCTTTCTTTGGAAGCGGTCACTACTTTAAGGATTTGGTCGCTGACGCTAGGGCCGGTCTTCTTGGGCTTGGAAGCCTTTTTCTTCGCTGGTTTAGCGGGAGCGGCGGCTGGCGCTGGTGCTACTTCTGCCATTTTTCCTTCTTTTGTTTTCTTTGCTGCTTTCGCGATCCAACTGGAGTCCGAGAGACGAGATAAGAAACTCGCAGCAGGAGTCGCCTTTTCAATGCAACATGAGAACCGTGGAGACTCAATCCAGCGCGCCGCTCTCGCTTGCAGCCCGAGTGAACGTGTTCTGTGTTTTCTCTTCCAGATAAACACGTTAAAAAGTAGCTCAAGAGGCAACGATGCGGACTGACAGTAAAGCAGCTGACAAGCGGGCACGAGTGTCTTCAAATTTAGCCCATGCTGAGCCCCGGTGCTTATTGCAGTTTTTCCCTGAAACTCCGAAACCTCGGCGAGTCACAGCGGAGCTTAGCGGCTTCGCCCCTTCTTTTATCCCATAAAAGGACTTCAAATCAAGTAAACCTGCACCAAAATCACTTTTCCAGCTGAGCCACATGTTCTTTTACACATTCAAAGTGAAAACATCCACCTGCTGGCAGTCAGTTTGGAATAAAATGAAGATATTGTGACTGCAGCAAACACACTAATGAAGGTGGAGGCTGGTGACAGCCAGGCTTCATACCGGAGCTGTTCGCTTTAAAAGTTTCTTTTGCTAAGAACATTTATCACGAATTGAGAGAAATACTGAACATTACAGGGGATTATAACACACAATTGTATTATTAAGAGCCCCTCGGAGCCTTGTTGAGTCCGCGATTTGAAGACATTGGAAGTTGTGACGGTTTAAAGAAGACAGGCCGGTTTATAGGGCTCTTTCAACTTTCTGCTTCATAAGAAAACAAGAAAGAAAGAAAATGTGTGGAGAGAGGCAATGACAGAAAGAAATGTTACAAATTACAGAAAAAAATAGCCATTTGATGCTCCAACTTGAAGGCAGGCATTTGAAGGTCCCTCTGTATCCCATTCTCTGTTTTAGAAGCCAACATATATTTTCATCTATGTCTAAGTTTTCTTTGTATTCTCATTCCTTTTCGAGTTTCAAAAACCTGATGAGCTTCAGACTTGCACTGATAATTTTAGCCACAGAGGTGATGCTTATGTACCTAATAGTACATGTTATGAAGCAATGACTATCCACATACACATACCCACAACGACCTACACATACACACAATGGACAACTGTACCCTCAAACACACAATAATAACATGGACTGAACCACCACTCACAACCACCAGCACTTTATACAGCCTCTCTAGAAACTATCCACATATCTCACTTATCTTGCACTACTGTATAATTATGTGTAAATAATCATTCTGTACATACGATCATTTTTAATTCTACAGCTGTTTAGAACTTGCATAGTTCACATTTCTGTATAGCTGTATATCTCAGATTCTGTATAGTTTTTTTTTAATTTATATCCTGTTCATAGCCTGTACATAGTTTATACTCACTACAGCCTACATACATAGTTATAGCATATTCATAACATACCCTCATACCGTGTACATTATAACATACCATAATAGACCCATTTCTGTAATATACTTACATATCTATATTATTGCTAATATATATTGTAATATATCTATATCACGGCTAAAGCACTTCTGGATGGATGCAAACTGCATTTCGTTGCCTTGTACCTGTGACATGTGCAATGACAATAAAGTTGAATTCTATTCTATTCACATTTAAATATAAATATCACAGGTATATAATAAGCATATTTAATATTACTACTACTACTACTACTACTACTACTAATAATAATAATAATAATAATAATAATAATAATAACTAAAATGTAGCTGCTTTTTTCCATTGAGTTTTTCCAGATTTATGAATATAGTGTCTCTGTTACTTTTTTTCTATAATGGACGTCCAGTTATTATTATTTAATAAGCCCCACGCCCCGGTAGAGGGCAAAAAGGAGGAGATCACGTTTAATCGGTTATAACGCGGGTTGAGAAATATAAATCCAGACATGTGTGGTATCCACAGAAACCTCAGAATCTCAGCTAAAATGTCATATAAACCATTTCTACAAACACCAAACACACAGAAAACAAGCCGTGATTAAACGAGCAGTTTCGTAAATGCGCAGACGTCCGCTAAACAAACAAAACCGAACCAGAAATTCTTCAGACTTTGTGTAACCGGCTAAAGATAGGTTGGTTAGCTTCCAGGGCTATCACTGACTCCACACACCAAGTTTCACCACGATCAGACCAAAATTCACTGAATGAGCCGCAAAAGAAGACCACAAAAACACACAGCGGCGCAAATGCGCTAAGACAGAAATTGGCTTACCTTCCCGATTTCCTCAGGTATTTTCGCTGGTAGCCTGTAGCCACATGACTAACAGTAGTTACAATGCCTACCTAACCACATCAGAGCAGTTTTCCGTCAACAACCTCCATTTTAGACCCACCTACAGACACGTGACTGAGCAGACGTCACATGCAGTAAATTTGGGCCCACGTGGGTTTTGGCATCACAACGTCTGATTGGTTGAAGTGACGTGAACGTAGCATCGTTAGTATGAATCTATTGGCTCAAACGATTAAAAAGAGGTGTCAATCATGCTAATTGACCAAAAGAAACCAAAGTTACAGGCCCTCGGAGTTTAAAGGGCCAGAGGCCAATTGAATGCTCTATGCACACGGCAGAAAAGGGCCATTACCATGTAAATGTGTGGTTAATTCTTCAAAAATATATTTTAAAAAAAGCATGTTTAGGTCTGTTAATAAATTTTATTAATTTCTGCTCTTTAAATACCTAAAAAAATCAACTGGCATGGTGTCCAATTGTGTGCCGAAATTGGACATTTTTGTACAACGTCTGGATATTCATGTCTTGACAGGGCTGTAATTTTTCACTGTTTCACTTTAGAAACATGAATCTTTGCACAGATTATGTTTATATGTTGGTTACTGAATTTCTGGAACCAAATGTGATCTGAGGCATATTATTCAAAGGGTTATATGCTAAAAATAAATTAGGCGAGAATAAAAATCTACTTTTTCTGTGTTCCAGTAATACATAGTAATATCTGCTTCAATATTTACATCTCTGATGAAATTTCCCAAGTGTTAGCTTTATTTTGATACCAAGATTGTAAGGACAGTTTGTAATTGCAGAGAAATAATCAACTAAATTTGGGCATTACATTTTTGAGCAGGAAGCTCAGAAATTAAGAGGTTAAGGAGTTACAGAGCACTGGATGGTTCCTAAAGAGAATTCTGGTAAAGAAATCCAACTCATACATGGTCATATGAGGTATTTAATTGTTGTACATGTTCTATTGTGATGTAGTATACAATGTAACAAGTATTTTTATCAAAGGGAAGAGGGAGAAACTAAACCCCTTGGCTCTTTGATGATTCCCTTCTATGACATGAAGGGGAATATCTCCTTCAGAGGATGATGCTGATGAACACAAATTCCCAAGATCCCTTTTTGACTGGATTAAACAATTATGTAATGCTACAGTTTACAGACAAACAAAATGCAAGTGTCTGAACCAGTTATAGTTTAACATACTTTGTTCAGCAAATCAAGACTATGCCCGAAATGTGAGATTTCTACTGTTGCCATATTATAAATAGTACATCGTATTAGAACGAAGCTCTTAAAAAAAAGTGTGTGGCTCTTAAAAGAGCCGTTGAGTTCTTTCAGTTGGTGTGAATGAGTTTAACCGCCGAAGCCGTACAGAGTGCGGCCCTGTCTCTTCAGAGCGTACACCACGTCCATGGCGGTCACGGTCTTCCTCTTGGCGTGCTCGGTGTAAGTGACGGCGTCACGGATCACGTTCTCCAGGAACACCTTCAGCACACCGCGGGTCTCCTCGTAGATCAGACCCGAGATACGCTTCACTCCGCCACGACGAGCAAGACGGCGGATGGCGGGTTTGGTGATTCCCTGGATGTTATCGCGGAGAACTTTACGGTGACGCTTGGCGCCTCCCTTTCCGAGTCCTTTGCCTCCCTTGCCCCTTCCACTCATGGTTACTGTTTCTTCCTCGAACGAATAACGTCGAATGAAAGTCACAGCAGCGGACTCTGTCTTTACAAGTGATCTGCGGACGTAATAGAAAACCCCTGACCACGGGTGCAAGCAAACTCGCAAGTCAGCCTATGCTGACCGAGTGGGGTTTCATTAGCTTTTATGCTAAAGTCGTACACCAGCGTGAGCACATACAGCATGTAAACATATTGTGGCTTTAAAATCCAAGTTATCAAACTCACATGAACAATTTGGCAGTGCCAAACTGAAAACACCGTTGTTGTACTACTAAAATCTAAGAAAACGCTGCTCTTTGAGGTTGTGAGTGGCTCTTAAAAGAGCCTTTAGTTTATTAAAGGTGGTCGTGGGATTTTATTTGGCCTTCTCAGTCTTCTTGGGCAATAGCACGGCCTGGATGTTGGGCAGCACGCCGCCCTGAGCGATAGTCACTCCGCCCAGAAGCTTATTCAGCTCCTCGTCATTGCGGACGGCCAGCTGCAGATGGCGGGGGATGATCCTGGTCTTCTTGTTGTCACGGGCGGCGTTCCCAGCCAGCTCCAGGATCTCAGCAGTAAGATACTCCAACACAGCTGCGAGATACACCGGGGCGCCGGCACCAACACGCTCAGCATAGTTACCCTTCCTCAGCAGCCTGTGGACACGACCAACGGGAAACTGCAATCCAGCGCGGCTGGAACGAGTTTTCGGCTTCGCTTTCGCTTTTCCGGTTTTTCCACGTCCCGACATCTTGTTTGTTTTCTCTTTTCTTGACAGGAAAAAAAGTATAACTAACACGCCTTCAATACCAGCCTTATATACTACTTCAGGTGTTCGCTCATTGGTTATAGGGATCGTGAGAAACAGCGTCCAATCAGATTAGAGATGACGTCAAACCTCACATTTAACTTCCGTTTTATACTGTACGAACTGATATGCTATAAACGATTTTAGTAATTCACCCTGGAAATACTGAAATATATAACAGTATATATATATATATATATATATATATATATATACACACACACACATATTCTTTACTTGTGTATGAAACTGGACTCTTCATCTTACTTTGCAGTTGGAAAACTGGAATCTCCCCAATGAGGGACCAGAAAGCATATTTTTTTTCTCTTCTGTTATATTCTAGCTCGAAAACAGCTCTGAACATTCACATTTATTACAGTGCATTTTTAAAATTCCTAACACTGAATCTCATCATTTAGATCACACACATTATTTATCACCATGACCTAAAATAGCATCAAGGAGTCAGTGATAACATCAAACCAACAAAGGTTTTAAATTTGTATCTCAGTACCTCATATCAGGCATTCAATATTATCTCACTTTAACAGGTGTTTGAGCCTGTGTGAGAATATTTATCTATATCTATCTATGTTTATCCAGCAGTCTATCGATCTATAGATAGACAAACACTGTGTTCTGTCTTGATTGATTTTTTTTTATTTGATTTTATTGATTAGCATTCAAATATCTCAGTGAAGACAGAACAAAGATCTACCACAAAGCAAGAAAGCATGAGACAAGGCTAATCAAAAGGTATTGGCTGAAGCATTTGCTTATTATGCCAAACCTTTTCACAAAAGATCTTTTTGCATGCAGCTCCTGTACACAGGGCTCGAAACAAATAATAAAACAAAGCAAAAACAAAACAAACAAGAAAAAAAAATTTCCACCTTAGATAAGTAACTACATCAAAGCAAAAGAATCAAGAGGGTTTGTTTTTTGGGGGGGTTGTTTTGTTTTTTTGCTCTTTTCATTCTTGATATATATATTTTTCTAATACTCTATTTTTAAACATATTTTTAAACAAGGAAAATGAACTACACCTTTTTTAATCACTGTCATAACTATTCCACAGGTTAACTCCTCTAACAGAAACACATCTCTGCTTTATATTTGTCCTTATCTTGTTTGTTTTTTTTTTTAAGAAATCTGTTCCCCTTAAGTCATATTGACTCTCTCTGACTCTTATATTGGTAGTCTTAAAAACAACAATAAACTGTGCAGGTTACCAGGTTTCCATGTAAAGTCCAAATAAATGATGTTTAAATAAAACATTCCCAACTTGTGCTAACTAAATACAATACAATAAGGATAATGGGAGGTTTAAGTTTGTTCTTATGCTCTAATACACAGCTCTCGAACTCCAGGCCTCGAAGGCCAATGTCGTGCAGGTTTTAGATGTGTCCTTGATCCAACACAGCTGATTGAAATGGCTAAATGGCCTCCTCAACATGTCTTGAAGGCTGTATCCCTATTCAGGGTCTGCAGCCTTAAAGGCCGCATTTTAAGGCCGATTACGTCACAGCGGCGCGACGAAGGCTGTCCCAATTCAAAGGCTGCTCGAAATGCGGCCCTCACATGCGTCCTTCATTTCCCTGAATTTTAAGGATGTGGCGGTGCAGACTTCGTGGCCCAACATATCCCACAATTCATAGCGCGGCAGTCGGTGTGGATAATTTTGCCGCAGACGGCAGAAGCGGAGCAGCCGAAGAGTAAACTGATAAAATTAAGTACTGAATATTATGTCACTTATTTATGTGCAAATGTTTAATAATGAGGAACATTAAAACAGTACTGTTGGCCACATGTCGGTTAAGTTATTTGCCATTAGCGATGTTTGTACGTTCAGCATTAATTTGGTTTTAAAGCCTTTAAAATATAATAATACAATAGTCGACCTTAATCTTACAGAGATTGTGATGATTTTGTGGATAATTAAAGTCAGTCATATATCCACAAACACAACGAGCTGAAAGTCAGTGATGCTGCTCGGTTTGCAGTCCTGAACATCACGACACAAGCAGGATTCACTGCACTGTTAACGTTAGCTATGTTATATTGCTGCCTCTGTTCGGTGGTGTCGAGCCAAACGCACTTTAACGTGTGTTTGAACGAGCTGACGGTTCACTCGTTAAGCTGAAAGAAAGATGCTTTAATCACAGCAGTCACACATGTGTCCACTGCACCATCTGGAACTCTTCTTGTTTACACTCGTAATAACACAAACACTAAATCCTCCTTCTCTGTGCTGTTGTGTAGCAGTGTATACACCTGAGACTGTCACCTGTCTGTCTGTCCTGCACTCTCTCTCTGTTTCTTTCTCTCTGATTGTGGAATAAAAGTATGAACATGTGTTTATAAGTTACACTTGTGTCTGAATCCTGCAGCTTATCACACATTTGATTTCCATGTGTGACGACTGCAAGTGTCCAGAGTGAGGACAGACTGAGGGACCCACTGCTGCACATCATCTGTGAGGCTTTGCACCCCTGATGATCCACCAGGAAAACTCAGCAGTGTGTGAGGAAGAGGAGGAGGAAGAGCCAGCAGCAGCTGACAGATGGAGAGAATAGACAGACTGTTCCCTGTTTGTGAAGGACTGCTAGGAAAGTTTAACATAACTGTCTGTGCTGAATCAGTCTTATTAGGTAATGTTCAAATAATGTGATCATCCCAGTGTTTCCAGTGTGGGAGAAAGTACTCAGAGTACTCTGGGCCTTCAAGTTACACACTATGAAAGGCAGCAACAAGTTTAATGTTCAGAAACCTAAAGTCTGTATCAGCAGCAGAATGGAGCTAAAAACAAATGTTTGTTTCAGTTCTATGAAGCTTTGAGTATTTTGGATCAGTAGCTGCTGTGTTTGTTGCATCATATTGCTGTAACTGTTTATATGCTTTATATATTCTGAGCTAAGTTGATCTATAGTGTTACATCATATTCTATAAGGATGTTATGTGTTTGTAGACTTCCTGCCCAGTTTGACCCATTTAGCAGAAGTCAGCCTGTTTAAGGCTCTGATGTCTATTCTGTGTGACTTAAAGCAGTTATGACATGGTCTGATTTTCTCACCCAATAAAGGAATATTTCATATATCAGTCTACTCTTCATTCTATCAGACACAGTTATCACAGCTCGCACATTTTGTTTTTTTATACATATATGTAAGCATTGAACCAAATTTAGTGATGCCAACATACTGAAGGAACAACATTTGTCTCTTATTTATGATACATCTATATACACACTGTCAAAGATACTTGAGTGTCTTTGAGTGGAGATTTAAGGTGATAAGACATATAAATAGCTGCAACTTGAATCTGTACTGAAGCTCAGTGTTTGACTGCAGTTCAAAAAAAGCGCCCCTCCGACAGCCAAACCCATCTGTTCTCTGATTGGATTGTTACATTTGTGATTGACATGACATTGACCAATCGGACAAAAGGAAGAAAAATAGGGTCAAAATTCGTACTTGTAACTTGCAGGGGGGGGGGTGGCTAAGTTCACATACAAATCTTTTTTACGCATACACAAATTTTTTTATTATTTTTATTTATTTATTTTTTTTACACATACAAAACCGATTTCCATCCATCCATCCATCCATTCGCTTCCGCTTATCCTTTTCAGGGTCGCGGGGGGCGCTGGAGCCTATCCCAGCTATCATAGGGCGAAAGGCGGGGTGCACCCTGGACAGGTCGCCAGTCTGTCGCAGGGCCAACACACAGGGACAGACAACCATTCACACTCACATTCACACCTAGTGACAATTTGGATTAATCAATTAACCTATCCCCACAAGCTGCATGTCTTTGGATGGTGGGAGGAAGCCGGAGTACCCGGAGAGAACCCACGCAAACACGGGGAGAACATGCAAACTCCACACAGAAAGACCCCGGCCTGATGGTGGAATTGAACTCAGGACCTTCTTGCTGTGCGGCAACAGTGCTAACCACCGTGCCACCGATTTACAAGTACAAAATATTTATGACCACATTTTGAGCCCATACCCCTGTAATAGTGTTATGATCTTGTGCAACCCCTGCATGTCGGCGTCAATGAAATACTCTTCAGGCGTTACCTCAATTCATCTGCTAATTGATACACCTGGTGAGATGAAGGAACACCTGAAGCTGACTTTGTAGAGATATAAAATTATTGCTTATATGCTCTGCTGGTTGCAACAGTTTATTAACTTAGAATAAAATCCATGGGTTTCTAAAACTTTTACATTTATGTTGTGACTTGAGTCCTGTAGTAACAATAATCTTGGTCTTGCAAGTTGCTAAAGGTGCTGAGGAAGGCAACCTCTGTCATATTATGCTCAGAGCGTCCTCTCTTGATTGATTTTCAGCTGCTTCCCTCAGGTCGTTGGTGTAAAGTGCCTGCAGTGAAGACAAAGAGTGTCTCTTTATACCAGCTGCTGTTGTACTAAACCATAAGGGTGTTGCCACTGCACATTTTTGATGATAAAATTTGGGCTGTTTTTGTCTCTCTGTACGGACAGACTGCAAATCAATTTCCTACTGGGGACAATAAAGTTACCATTGACCATATGTGATGCTCTACTGCAGCTCTGTTAGTCTCTCACGCTCCCTCTTCGTGCTCAGCTAATAAGTGCTAATGCACTTATTCCCTTTGGGTGCACCTGATTCTTGCCTCTATACATCCTGAGACCAAGACGGAGCAGGAAATTTGTACACACTGTGTGCAATTTGTTTTAGCGTTCTCTTTATTTTAGCATTTTTTGGAAGAAATGATAACTGCATGCACACCGTCTTACTTAAGAGCTTATTTTGTATTATTCAATTATGTTATCCCACGAGGTAAAAAGTGCAATTCTTTGTTCCATCATATTCAACAAAAACAAACATCTTGTGGGGCAACTTCTGACAGACTCCCTGCCACTTGCATCTTAGACTTCCCCTTTTCATTTAGCACCCTTCCTGCAGGATCATCCTTTGCAGTAAAGTACTAACAAATTAACTTGACTAGGTCTGGTTCTTAAACACTACAAACACCCAACCTTTTTTCTTGGCCATCTTAAGATATTTGTCATAAGCATCAATCACAAAACAATTTTAAGTAATGGAAATTTCACTTATGTAATTAATTTCAATTGCCTCCCACTGGGTGACATAAGGCTTCAGGCAATCTGATGAAGCGTTTTCCCCCCAAACACTTCGTTATAACCCAGTGCAGTTTAAAAATATAAAAAAAAATTAAAAAAAAAGCAAACCTTTTCTCTTACTGAAGATGTGTGGCTCTTAAAAGAGCCGTTGTGTTTTGTGTAAACTGGTCTCAGAACAGTTTAAGCCCTCTCTCCGCGAATGCGGCGGGCCAGCTGGATGTCTTTGGGCATGATGGTAACCCTCTTGGCATGGATGGCGCACAGGTTGGTGTCCTCAAACAGACCGACCAGGTAAGCCTCGCTAGCCTCCTGCAGAGCCATGACAGCTGAGCTTTGGAAGCGCAGATCAGTCTTAAAGTCCTGAGCGATCTCCCTGACCAGGCGCTGGAACGGAAGCTTACGGATTAGCAGCTCGGTGGACTTCTGGTAGCGGCGGATCTCCCTCAGAGCAACGGTACCAGGTCTGTAACGATGGGGCTTCTTCACGCCTCCGGTGGCTGGGGCGCTCTTACGGGCAGCCTTGGTAGCGAGTTGCTTCCTGGGAGCTTTTCCTCCGGTGGATTTACGAGCGGTTTGCTTGGTCCTGGCCATTTTCTTCCTTATGCAGTCACTTGTCTTCTCAGCAAAAGACGAATACTTCAGCGGAGTGACTCGCGCGCTTATATAGGAACAGGCAGCGCTAGGGTAGCGCTGATTGGTTCAGATAAGTATCCCGCGTGTTCGGGATCAGCCCAGCTATTGGACCAAGAGAATTTGAAAATTTAAAGGAAACCACTCCCTTCAAGGCGGTTGAAATGTGCGCCTTTATGGATACGAGATTAAAAGTACGTTTAAAAAAGATTAAAGACTAATTTTAGAACAATAAAATACAACGGTCGTCATTATTAATTAGTTTAGTTAATAATATAAACACAGCCTGGATGGACCTTTGTTTAAAATCCTTTATTGGGCTTCTGTATAACGTAGTTATTGTAAGGATTCATGTCTTACATGTGTAATTTTATAATAATAAATATTATATAATAATATATTATTGTAAAATACAATACTTTTATGTCACGGAAACAACATATCACTACAGTGATATTCAAACCAGTGTAAAGAAAAATAAAGTGATAGGCTTATCTTGATAGGTTAAGAAATGTAGACATCAGTCCAGCTATTTTTATGTGCAATTTTCTTCATACAGTAAATATCTTCAATTGTTTTATAACTTAATCAGATTAATAATCCTGCAGAAAGGGTTTGTTGTTTAGATGAAGTGGATCCTGCTTTGGTTTTAAATGCGATCCGAGTCAAACCGGTTTTACTGCCAAAGCCCAGTTTTTCCTGTTGTTCTAACTTGATACAAGTTGACATGTTCATGTCTTACATTCTGAAGGCATTTTACTTACAGTAAAAGTTTGTTCTTGTTTGCCATGTGGATTATTTAACGCACTTGGAAAACAGTAAGCCACAGTTGCGACTACTGATGGAAAGTTCGGCTGTTTTCAGAGAGCCGGCTCTTGTGGCACGACTCTCCTTCTCACCGTTGTCTACCGTCTCACTCACTGGCTGAGGCATGAGGAGCGATCCTGAAATATCAATACTTCCAATACCGTAGTTTCATGTTGCAAGATCAATTCCCATATGAAAAAATAAATATCTAATTTGATTAAATTTATTTTTAATCGTAAATGCGACATACAGATAAAAGTAAACACTACTTAGCAGGATAGTGGGCAGTACCCTGTTAATAGGGACTACAATTGCCTTCTGCCTCCTATTCATGTGTGCTACTCCTCCGCAAGAGTGCAGCCAATAAGAAGCCAAGACAGAAAACACGCAAACTTGACTTTGTTCACAGATCATGTATTTACATTCAGCATAGAAATGATGCTGTGTGCGATGTATGTGGGAAGACAGTTATATACTGTAGCAACACAAAAACGTTTTAATGGCGATTCGACAGTTGCGATTGAGTAGATGATTGTCAAGCTTATTTTACATTTAAGGCCACAAGGAGGTGCTCTTCAGAAGAAGTGGGTGGCTCTGAAAAGAGCCGTTGGGTGGATGCGGCAGAGCTGCAGTTTACTTGGAGCTGGTGTACTTGGTCACGGCCTTTGTGCCCTCGGACACGGCGTGCTTGGCCAGCTCACCGGGCAGCAGGAGGCGCACGGCGGTCTGGATCTCCCTGGAGGTGATGGTGGAGCGCTTGTTGTAGTGAGCCAGGCGGGAGGCCTCAGAGGCGATGCGCTCGAAGATGTCGTTGACGAACGAGTTCATGATGCTCATGGCCTTGGAGGAGATGCCGGTGTCGGGGTGCACCTGCTTCAGCACCTTGTACACGTAGATGGCGTAGCTCTCCTTCCTGGTCTTTCTCTTCTTCTTGCCGCCCTTGCCGGCGGTTTTAGTCACAGCTTTCTTGGAGCCCTTCTTGGGCGCGGACTTTGCGGGTTCAGGCATTTTCCTTCGTCGCTACTTCACAGCAGAGAATGTGCCCGTCAGCGCAGAGCGACTCTCTTTTATTTCCGCTGTATGCAAATAAGGCTGTGCAGATCCCCGCCTGTCATTGGTCGAGCTGTTGCTCCCTTTCTTTAGTGGGTGAAAAGTTACTGGCAGTCGCACAATGTAAAGTAAAGGAAACCTCGGCAACAGCCCTCTTTCAGTGATGCTGAGAAAGCAGGTTTCATGACATTTATGCAGTGTTTTAGGGAAACAGAGAGGTATTTGGGACATAAGAGAATTTGTGCTGCTTCATTGTTACTTGTTCATGTTCTGATTTCTCAAACCACATATGTTTGTGTCCAGCTTTAATTGGAAATCAAACTGAAAGAAATGTGTAGTACAATTTCTAATCAGAGAAAAAAAAAGTACAAATATAATCCTTTACTTTACTTGCTGCAACGCAACACGTCCTAAAAGATTATGTATTCATATATTTAAGGTGTATCAGGGTTGCTCTTTCTTTGCTCTTTCACTGCTTTGGAGCAGTAGTCCATTGAAGCTTCTACGTTACTACTAAGGAATGTCCAAAGTCACAGTGTGCTGGGGATGAAACGTTGGAACATCTGCTGTGATCTTGTTATAGAACAGAAATTAGACAACAAATGGCTAGGGTGGGATTTGACATTGATAACAACATAAAAGCTATAAAGTAAGAAAAATGTTTGATAGTAAAAGATGGCTTTTCTGGTTAATCATGTGTATTGTTAATACCCACATTTGGAAAACAAGAACTAAAGTGGTTGGGAAACAAAAAAATGATTAGTAATGAGGCTGTTGGTAAAAACATTTTTCCAGATCTGAGGAGGAGAAAACAGAAGAACAATAGTCCTTTACCTTGGGATCTTTTAAACATATGAATAGATAAATAATTTTGAGTATTTTTTTATCTCTATTCTTTCTGTGTGTGTGTTGCAAATTGTTATGTCTTGACATGTGCTTTGATGTAAATTGCCATGTAACTTGAAAATAAAGGCTTAAAAAAAACATCTTTCAACAACTGTGACGGTTAAGATGCTGCCTCAAAATGAGTATCCTTTGAATTTCCAGCAACAACTTAAGTGCCACCACCATCTTTGTGAATTTGAACCAGAGATCATTGTTGTTTAATTATTCTATATATGCTTTAATTGTGTATCCCCTCACAACACCACGGGCCGCTCTGCAGGAGTTTGTAGAGTGGTGTGACAGCACCAAAATTGAATTGAACGTGAGCAAAACCAAAGAGATGGTGGTGACCTTCTCCAGTAGGCAGAGGGATCTGGCTGCTTCAGTCACCACCACCATCCACGGGAAGCCAGTGGAGGTAGTTGAGTTACAAATACCTGGGGACCATCTTTGATAACCTTCTGAAATTCTCTGCCAACACTGAGGAGATTCTCGAGAAGTGCCACCAACAGCTATACCTCCTTGGGAAACTCAGCTCCTTTGGAGTCAGCACACCCATCATGATGACTTTTTTACTACGCCTTCCTGGAAAGCATCATGACCATCCATTACCTGCTGGTTCCACTCCCTCAGCCTTCATACAGGAACAGACTGCAGCACCCGGCAGCAGTGTGCTCTAAAATCATTGGCCTGCCTGTCAGAACTCTGGCACAGGTTTTCAGCCAATAGGCCCTTAGAAAGGCAGCCAAAATCATCAACGACCCCTCTCACATTCTTCACCCCGCATTTCAATGGCTCCCCTCTGGGTGACACCTCTGCATTTCCTGCAAGACTGAAAGGAGGAGAGCCACCTTTGTCCCCAAAGCCACTCTGCTTTTTAACTCCAGCAGATTAAGACCATTTCCCTACACCCATATACATAAACTACACTCTTTTTATACTGCCGACACTTTACTCAGTTAATTATTCACCTCTCAGTCACTTTAATTTCAAAACTGTAATTTGTGTATATTGCGTATTTATTTATTAGTGATGTGCGATACCACTGATTTCCTTTCCGATCCGATACCAAGTAAAATTCAGGGGGGTATCGGCGATACTGATCCGATACTCTGTGCAAAAACTTAATGTTTCATTGCATTTCATAATACAATATATAATTGTATTATGTAATTGTAATAATAACATAACCATATTGCTTCATAATGATCAGAGGACATCAGACAACTTGTTTTCATTGCTTAATAATGCAGAATAATCATATAGAAATAAAAAAAAAAGATGACGTTGTGCGTCTGCGAGAGACGTCTGTCTCGCCCCAGCAGCACCTGTCCCTGTCCTCCTCTTCAGTTCCTCAACATAAGCTCATCATATTCTGTGATGTGATTTACTCCGAGGTGTTTGACGAGGTCAGTGGTGTTGCCACAACACCTCACTGTCTTGCCACATACATCACAAACCACGCCTGGGCTGTTTGTGGAGGTAAAACGCGTCCACACATGACTCTGTTTGCGCTCAGCCATTGTTGTGAGTGTGCACGCCAGGGGCTGCCACACAGTTATACAGCCGTATTTCGCATATGACTATGAAAGGCGTAAGAGGAAGTTGTTCCTTCCAAATTAGACGATCCGAATGGTATAGTTTCTTTCCACTGCGTTCATTTTAATGGAAAAACAACAAACTTACCCCAGAGTACTAAAATATCGATATTATAATATGAGAATCGATTCTAGAACATAAATTGCTGGTATCGGAAGAATCCTTATTTCAGTATCGATCCGCACACCACTAGTATTTATTATCTCACTCTTACTGCCTGTTTATGCCAGGTCTATCTTCAACGCTATGCTGCTCTGTTGTTTCTTAATTGCCCCCATGGGAATAAACAAAGTCCCTCTGATTCTATCCTTTAATAAAGCCACAAAACACGTGACAACAATTTTCATGATGGCATTTTGAACTAATCAGTTTTAGCAGACAACACACTGAAGCTATACTTCCGTGGTGTGTGGCTTATTAGAGAAAAACATGTCACTGCTTGCATTTTTCCATGTTACACCAGCGTTTTTCATACTGAAAAGGCTGAAGGTTCAGAGACAACCATGCCAAATGACCCCTTGATAATCTTTGTAACTACCACATGCCTTACTAGTGAGACTAATTAAATCAAATGCCTTTTAATTGTCATAGTTGGGAATCAGAAGATTAGCAAGATAAGAAACATCAAAGAACAAAGCTCTTAAAGGGAGGTGTGTGGCTCTTAAAAGAGCCGTTGAGTTCTTTCAGTTGGTGTGAATGAGTTTAACCGCCGAAGCCGTACAGAGTGCGGCCCTGTCTCTTCAGAGCGTACACCACGTCCATGGCGGTCACGGTCTTCCTCTTGGCGTGCTCGGTGTAAGTGACGGCGTCACGGATCACGTTCTCCAGGAACACCTTCAGCACACCGCGGGTCTCCTCGTAGATCAGACCCGAGATACGCTTCACTCCGCCACGACGAGCAAGACGGCGGATGGCAGGTTTGGTGATTCCCTGGATGTTATCGCGGAGAACTTTACGGTGACGCTTGGCGCCTCCCTTTCCGAGTCCTTTGCCTCCCTTGCTTTTTTTTTTTTTTTTTTCTTCTAGTCACTTAAATCGTTTTTCTTCCTTCTTCTGATGCTTGGTTTGAACTTCAGCGAGTCATCTCTTTTTAATAGCTATGCATTATTATTACAATATACAAATTGCACAAAAAGTTCAAAATCAGTAGTTCATTTTCCATGTCTACCTATTAAAAAAAGTAAATTCATGCAGTTGCAATAGAGTGGAATTTATGCGAGCATGATACATCAAAGGCGCAATTCCACTCATGGTTACTGTTTCGTCTTTGACCGAACAAAGTTGAATAACCTCCCACGCGAGCTCTCTAGTCTTATCTCTGAGTGGCGGACGTAATAGAAGACCGCTGCCTTTTTTTTCTTTTTTTGGTGAATCAAATTTCATGAGCCCCGTCCACCTTCCTGCCCCAGTGTGGACCTGAACCGATTTCAGCTTTATTTGTTTTTAATAAGATTTAATATAGTGATTAACTCATTAGTCTAACACATGATTCGAGGTCGGACACAAATCCCTGACAGGGTTCCATCAAAGATGATATCCAGTCTAAACACCTGGCCTAAATCAAATGTGGAGACCAGTGAACTATCAACACATCTATCATAAAGACTCACACCAAAGCCTCCTCATGATGTCTGAGCAAAGTCTGTTTTGTTTTCAAACAACTAGCATTTTTCATTTTATTTTGTTCTTGAAGCACTTACTGCAAATGAAAATGCATCTTTAAAACTCGTACAATATTCCTGCTGTCTTTACTGCTTTAAAACCCAAAATGTAAGTAGATATAAATATAAACAGATACACTGAAAAAATTCGCAGTACACATTCTTGCAATGTCATTCATTTACAATAACAGAAACAGAGAACATTAACTTTTTGTCAAAATGGCAGGCACTGCAGCTTCCACATTCTATGGCAATCAGGGAGGTTACGTGATAACTGTTTTCAGAGATTGTTTCTCTTAAAGATGAAATTGTTTCTTCCACATTACAATCTTCAATTTGGTTTATTAAGATGTCATAGATGTACAATAAGTTTAACCCTTTCACAATAAAACTTATTCATTGTCCTTTGTGGTGGACAGCAGGACTTAAAACCTCCATTTTTAATACTTCAAAAAGCTGAGGGCTGAAAGAGCTAGAAAGGATTTGATTCAAGTTTGTGGAAGGAGGGTTAGACTTTGAGCTTTTGGGAGATGAGGTGGAGCAGATCCAGGCATTGCAGCAGGAAGGTGACATGTTTGAGGACGAGTAAATCAGTAAACCAGCTTTCAAGGAGCCGGATTAGGGACGAAGTAACAACACCCACAATCCACTATGGATTAGAAGTAATGTGAAAGCTCGATCTTTTACACTGGGGGATTTGGTTTCTCTTGCACAGCTGAAATACATCTGCTCAATCTACACAGGCTTTCCATGATCTCAGCAGACTGATGTATATTTGCTAGAAGTGCACTAAACCACATTACTTTGCTCTATCTCAATCCAATTTCAACCCTTTTGAATCTGGGTTGAAATTATT